GAACAGTATTGTCAACATGTTGTTACAGCATTGTTCAACTGTAACAACTTGGAACAACATGGTTGACAACTTACTTATAGTTGGCCGCACAACATTGTCCACGCCTGTCGATATCAACTTGGAATAACCTGTGCGTTTTTAGCCTTGTAATTTCGTTTTTAGCCTTGTAATATAGTTTCTACTCCTTACCTGGCGGCCTTATTGACTTAAGCCCGTGATCCATTGCAGGTCAGCGATTAATTTCATGAACGTAGGTCGATTTCTCGTTAACGAAAAAAACAAAGAATTTTCGCACAGAAAATTAGGGAATCTCAACACTCGGCCTTACGGCCAGTGTAATTAAATGTATTTCAGATGTTGATGAATGCGCAAAAGGAACTCACAAATGTAGAAGAAGAGAAAACTGCACAAACACTCCAGGTTCATACAAGTGCCAGTGTCCAAAAGGATACATTTGGAACGGGAAAATCAAAAATTGCTCAGGTAACAATATCTGGATTTGTTTAGCGCAATAAAAGGCTACATTGACTTAAGCCCGTGATCCATTGCAGGTCAGCGGTTAATTTCATGAACGTAGGTCGATTTCTCGGTAACGAAAAAAACAAAGAATTTTCGCACAGAAAATTAGGGAACCTCAACACTCGGCCTTACGGCCAGTGTAATTAAATGTATTTCAGATGTTGATGAATGCGCAAAAGGAACTCACAAATGTAGAAGAAGAGAAAACTGCACAAACACTCCAGGTTCATACAAGTGCCAGTGTCCAAAAGGATACATTTGGAACGGGAAAATCAAAAATTGCTCAGGTAACAATATCTGGATTTGTTTAGCGCAATAAAAGGCTACATTGACTTAAGCCCGTGATCCATTGCAGGTCAGCGGTTAATTTCATGAACGTAGGTCGATTTCTCGGTAACGAAAAAAACAAAGAATTTTCGCACAGAAAATTAGGGAACCTCAACACTCGGCCTTACGGCCAGTGTAATTAAATGTATTTCAGATGTTGATGAATGCGCAAAAGGAACTCACAAATGTAGAAGAAGAGAAAACTGCACAAACACTCCAGGTTCATACAAGTGCCAGTGTCCAAAAGGATACATTTGGAACGGGAAAATCAAAAATTGCTCAGGTAACAATATCTGGATTTGTTTAGCGCAATAAAAGGCTACATTGACTTAAGCCCGTGATCCATTGCAGGTCAGCGGTTAATTTCATGAACGTAGGTCGATTTCTCGGTAACGAAAAAAACAAAGAATTTTCGCACAGAAAATTAGGGAACCTCAACACTCGGCCTTACGGCCAGTGTAATTAAATGTATTTCAGATGTTGATGAATGCGCAAAAGGAACTCACAAATGTAGAAGAAGAGAAAACTGCACAAACACTCCAGGTTCATACAAGTGCCAGTGTCCAAAAGGATACATTTGGAACGGGAAAATCAAAAATTGCTCAGGTAAAAATATCTGGATTTGTTTAGCACAATAAAAGGCTACAAAAACTGCTCTTTTTGGTGACACGCACCTTTCTATAAATACCACAAAAAGAGCAGGTCAAAACTAGTGACTATGGAATATTGTTGGAGACTAAATTAATAAACAATGTTATATGGCCGCATCTTTTCTAAAAACACAAAACTGGTGCGGAATTTACAGACATTATTTTTACTGTATCGCGCCCTTTTGCGCCATTTCAGGCGTCCCCTCCAAATTTTTTATTTTCGCGAAATACCCTTCGCCAGTTTTTCGTGTTTCTCTAGCAAACATTTTCTTGAGCTCTTCCTCGACTTTTGTGGTTTTTACTCAGGTTTTCACTGTTTTTAATCAAATATATTTTTGAAAACAAAAAAATGAATTATTTTAACACGGTGGGCTGTAAATAACAATGCAGTGTATTCACCGTGAACCAGAAAATAACTTTCCATTCTGAGTATTGACATGATCGACGGTCATCACAAGTGACCTAATTAGTGACCATAATATTGATTTTAAAAAGTAATTACCACCGACGTCCACCGTATCTCACCGACGACTAGTATTGGGATAAGAACTTATAATTCTTTTTATGGGATATATTTAGTCTTGAGATATATTCTTTATCACTGCCATTGAATGAAATGTAATTTCTTTGTGTATTTTGGCTATCTTTTTCCCAAATTTCCTTTACACGAAATCTATCTTTCTTCAACAGCAACCAAACGTCCACGTTCTTGAGAACTTATGTTCATAACGTCATGGTTGCGTTAATGCCGTTGCAACATAACTAGACGGTCGAGTCCAAATCATCTTTAATTTTATGACAATCTATAATTTGCAATACAGGTGATCGACCTTGCGCAAATTAATCTATTGCATAGCTGTTAATTTCTTTGTATGAAAAATAGAATCTGTTCTGAATTTAAATGTATGTTTTACATTGCACTATAATGAAATTAAATCCTGAGCGCTTCCGGTATTGTAACCGCCAGTGATCCGCTGATAATTATGCAATTGTTATTATATACAGTTTAAATAAAGTAGAAAACATGCAGGTAGTAATTTTGTCTGCGCATGCGCTAAGATTCGCATGGTAAACATAAAAGGGAAATGAGGCGAGTAAACAAAGCAATTTGATTTCTGTGTGTTTGCGCTGATAATTACTGCTGTTTGAAAGTCTCTGGATTTTACAAAACGTGCCCTCGTTGATTGCTATGTAATATCATTTGTCATTTGACCCCATCCCTAAGGCAGCTAATACTACAGATAATAATACCTCTATTTTCAACTAGAATAAAAACTACTTATTTTGTTTTTTCAGATATCAACGAATGTTCAACGCGCAGCCATTCATGTCATATTAACGCAAAATGTAACAATAGTGAAGGTTCTTATATCTGCTTCTGTCGCTTTGGATTTTCCGGAGATGGGAAGAATTGCACAGGTAAAAAGTTAGGACTCCAATGTTTTCTCGAATGTTCTCAGTTTTCAGGAATATTATAATTCCTGGAACAAATTGTGCTATCCAAGATGCAATAATATTCCGCAAAAAGTTTAGAAAAGATTTAAGCGCGACTTTTGTTGAAGAAACAAAAAGTATCCGAGATATTGCTGTGTACATTACCTCAGACACGTTAGAACTATATAATTTATTCCCACTGTCTAATTTTGAAAACAAAGTACTGCATAGTATGTGGTACGGCGTGGTACGATCTGGTATAATATGGTGTCATTATAATATGGCGTGGAATGACATGGTATGATATAGCATTTATTTATATGATATAGTATGGCACAGTTCAAGATGGTATGGTAAAATAATATTTAAATAATATGGCATTGTTTTATTTACTGGTGTTATTCTATGGCATGGTTTTATACAGTGTTGGTTTCCATTGCGAATAATGAATGCATTTGACAAATTAAAAGTATTTCAGATGTCGATGAATCTGCAAAAGAACTCACAAATATAGGAGAAAAGCAAACTGCACAAACACTCCAGGTTCATATAAGTGCCAATGTCCTAATGGAAACAAATGGAACGGAAAGATTAAGAAAATACTCAGTTACAAATATCTCAATTTATTTATTGCAGTAAAAAGAACAAAATACTGCGCCCTTTATGGCGAGAGGTTGAACTATATCTAAACAAGACGCCTGCTCATGCGTTCATACTGGCCTAGACTTGGTTCAAGTCCGTCTCAGGAGAAAAGTAGGAAGAGACGGACTTGGGACATTTGCAGCATTTTGAATGTTACTTGCAAAAATTGGCGTAAAAATTGGCTGTTGTTCTCAACTCGCAAACCACGTCTCCGTAGGAAAAACCCGACGGTAAATTTTGGCGCGCTTGTAGGTTATCCAAGTTCGTCTCTTCCTACTTTTCTCTCATTTTTCGCGCCTTTTTTTAACTTCTTGCGTTCATCGCTATTTTCAAACCCTTGAGAGACGGACTTGAACTTGGACTGGCCCTATAATGCCTCCAAGTCACAAGTTACTTTCAAGGATTTTATAATATCTGTACACAGGCTATAGTGTTTAACTAGTACACAGATAATCAAACATTCGAGTACGTTAGGTTTATAAATTCAAAGAAAACTACTTCAATATGTAGTATTAAAACAAACCGAAGGCCTCCAAATCACAAACGTTTAAGGATTTCAAAACGTCCGAAGACGGCTATAGGGTTCAACTACACGCGTAAAAATTGAGAAAATCAACAACTTGTTCCAGGTTTATATCAACAGGCGTGAACAAGTTTGTGCGGCCCACTATGAACAGTATTGTCAACATGTTGTTACAGCATTGTTCAACTGTAACAACTTGGAACAACATGGTTGACAACTTACTTATAGTTGGCCGCACAACATTGTTCACGCCTGTCGATATCAACTTGGAATAACCTGTGCGTTTTTAGCCTTGTAATTTCGTTTTTAACCTTGTAATATAGTTTCTGCTCCTTACCTGGCGGCCTTATTGACTTAAGCCCGTGATCCATTGCAGGTCAGCGATTAATTTCATGAACGTAGGTCGATTTCTCGTTAACGAAAAAAACAAAGAATTTTCGCACAGAAAATTAGGGAATCTCAACACTCGGCCTTACGGCCAGTGTAATTAAATGTATTTCAGATGTTGATGAATGCGCAAAAGGAACTCACAAATGTAGAAGAAGAGAAAACTGCACAAACACTCCAGGTTCATACAAGTGCCAGTGTCCAAAAGGATACATTTGGAACGGGAAAATCAAAAATTGCTCAGGTAACAATATCTGGATTTGTTTAGCGCAATAAAAGGCTACATTGACTTAAGCCCGTGATCCATTGCAGGTCAGCGGTTAATTTCATGAACGTAGGTCGATTTCTCGGTAACGAAAAAAACAAAGAATTTTCGCACAGAAAATTAGGGAACCTCAACACTCGGCCTTACGGCCAGTGTAATTAAATGTATTTCAGATGTTGATGAATGCGCAAAAGGAACTCACAAATGTAGAAGAAGAGAAAACTGCACAAACACTCCAGGTTCATACAAGTGCCAGTGTCCAAAAGGATACATTTGGAACGGGAAAATCAAAAATTGCTCAGACACGCTGGTCTCCATTTTATATTTTCTGGTTTAAAATTTGATGTCAGCTTTCTATAAATACCACAAAAAGAAGCAGGTCCAAACTAGTGACTATGGAATATTGTAGGAGACTAAATTAATGAACAGTGTTATATGGCCGCATCTTTTCTAAAAACACAAAACTAGTGCGGCATTATATTTACAAACATTATTTTTACTGTATCGCGCCCTTTTGCGCGATTTCAAGAGCCCCCTCCAAACTTTTCATTTTCGCGAAATACCCTTCGCCAGTTTTTCGTGTTTCTCTAGCAAACATTTTCTTAAGCTCTTTCTCGACTTTCGTGGTTTTTACTCAGGTTTTCACTGTTTTTAATCAAATATATTTTTGAAAACAAAATAATGAATTATTTTAACACGGTGGGCTGTAAATAACAATGCAGTGTATTCACCGTAAACCAGAAAATAACTTTTCATTCCGAGTATTGATATGATCGACGGTCATCACAAGTGACCTAATTAGTGACCATAATATTGATTTTAAAAAGTAATTACCACCGACCGTCCACCGTATCTCACCGACGACTAGTATTGGGATAAGAACTTATAATTCTGTTGATGGGGTATATTGAGTCTTGAGATATATTCTTTATCACTGCCATTGAATGAAATGTAATTTCCTTGTGTGTTTTGGTTATTGTTTTCTCAAGTTTCCTTTACACGAAATCTATCTTTCTTCAACAGCAACCAAACGTCCACGTTCTTGAGAACTTATGTTCATAACATCATGGTTGCGTTAATGCGGTTGCAACATAACTAGACGGTCGAGTCCAAATCATCTTTAATTTTATGACAATCTATAATTTGCAATACAGGTGATCGACCTTGCGCAAATTAATCTATTGCATAGCTGTTAATTTCTTTGTATGAAAAATAGAATCTGTTCTGAATTTAAATGTATGTTTTACATTGCACTATAATGAAATTGAATGGAGAGCGCTTCCTGTATCATAACTGATCCGCAGATGATTATGCAAATGTTATTATATACAGCTAAAATAAAGTAGAAAACATGCAGGTATTTTCAACGCAATATTTCTATTTTCTCGTAAAATGTTCAGAATTATATCTGCTTCTGTCGCCTTGGATTTTCCGGATACGGGAACAATTGCACGGGTAAAAAGTGAAAACTTCAATGTTTTCTCAGTTTTCCACGTCAAAACTATAGTCAGTATATATATATATATATATATATATATATATATATATATATATATATATATATATATATATATATATATATATATATATATATATATATATATATATATATATATATATATATATATATATATATATATATATATATATATATATATATATATATATATATATATATATATATAGGTACGACAATCAACAAAATCCACTAGGCATCTTTATTACTAAATAGTTTCGTACCACAAAATGTGGCACTCTTCAGATAAATTGACCTAATCTATAGGTTTGGTAGTTTTTTGCTCAGGTTTTCAACTGTTTTTAAATCAACGATATATTTTTGAAAACAAAAATTAATACTGACATTTTCTAACACGATCGTCTGTAAATAATGAAATGTATTCGCCGTGAACCAGAAATAACTTTTCAATATGAGTATTGAAATGATCGACGTTCACCGCCAGTGACCTTGATGACCTTAATATTGATTTGGGAAAGTAACGAAGTACCACCGTACCTCCCCGACGACTAGTACTGGGATAGGAAACCTTATAATTCCCTTTATGGGGTATACTGACTCTTTGAAACATTTTCTTTATCACTGCCACTGAATGTAATGTTATTTTTTCAACTTTTCTTTACACGGAATCTATTAGTCCGTGTGTTGTGACCTTGAAAAGTGCCTAGAAAACGATTTTCAGGATGCATGTCTTAGATCTGAAATACTTTTACGGAAACTAACACTTTCGAACACGCTGATTTCAAATCCGAAAAGTTCCCACTCCGTAGACCCGCAGTTTATTCCACAAAATTCTATTTTATCTTCACTAATTTCACAACAAATTTTTTCATTGTTCAACGACACGGATCGATGACGATACACGATTATGTCACTCAAAAGGACCAATTCCTATTAACCATTCTTCCTTTAAACAAAAGACCGGTTTTACTCGAATCATTCTGAGTTATGCAATCTTATGCGTGTTGGACGTAAACAACATATCTTGTCTACAACTATGAGAAGGTACAGATAATTCCTTCTAAAATCCTTAGTTCTGGATCTATCTTTATAAAATCACAAGGACGTTAATGTCAAGTCTTGGTGCTATGTCTTTGGGATGAGAAATAATTCCTTACATGCGATCAAAATGTTTTATACAAACATATAAAACGGTAATCTATATGTAATGGATCAGCATTCCAACACGGTTTCCGAGACGTAATTCAAGATTAACTTATCATTGCATTTGAACTATTACATCAGTTGGTGTTATACTGTGCGATAAGCGAATATTATTGTAATGAGGGCTTCTATATACGTTGAAATCATCAAATAAACAGCTCATGCACATATTTCTGCACTTTGTGGAAGTTTACAGAGCATATTTTATACTTGGGGACTGATCTTTGTCTTTGATGTGAACATTTATTCTCATAGTTTAAGGTTATTTAAGATTGATCCTGTTCTAAGTCTTCTAGCAGCAACCATTCCACAATATTTCATTTTAACGCTGTCTTTGCCGTTACGTTGGCTTCGCGTTACTTTTGTTTTAAATAACTTGATCGCGTTAAAAGAGTTATTTTTCAGGCCAGTGACATAGCTAAAAGACTTTGCATTAATGTCGTTGTGATTTTATAGAGATATCTCTAGAACTGATGATTTTAGAAAGCGTTATCTGTACCTTCTCAAAGTTGTAGACAAGATATGTAGTTTACGTCCAACACGCATAAGATTGCATAAATCAAAATGATTCGAGCAAAACCGATCTTTTGTTAAAAGGAATAATGGTTAATAGAAACTGGTCTTTTCAGTGACATAATCGTGTATCGTCGTCGATCCGTATCGTTGAACAATGAAAAAATTTGTTGTGAAATTAGTGAAGATAAAATAGCATTTTGTGAAAAAACTGCGGGTCTACGGAGTGGGAACTTTTTGGATTTGAACTCAGCGTGTTCGAAAGTGTCAGTTCCCGTAAAAATATTTCAGATCTAAGACATGCATCATGAAAGTGAACGCATTCTTCGAATTCAGCAGCAACCCAACGTCCACGCGTGCTTTAGAAATTATCTTCATAACGTCGTGGTAGCGTTCTCGCATTCATTTGGACCTTTTGGTGTTTAAACTAGAATAACAAAACAATCGTATATCGCCTGCGTTTGAACATTGAAGTACCAGACAGACAAACATTGTTTATAACAATGTATTAGAAATGTTATTTTTTATCCATCCAGAGCCAGTGAACTCCATGTCTTTTATCTGGAACGATAACATGCGGGAGAAACGTGAAGCCAATGGCAACGCCACTTCACGCTAACGATAGCGTGTTTACGCGCGCTGATTCGTGATAGACCGCGCGGCGATGGCGCGTATAAAGGCTGATTTCCACTGTTGCGTTTTTCATACGTACGTATACGCATGTAAAACTTTAAATCCGTTTAATAATAATAATAATAATAATAATAATAATAATAATAATAATAATATTAATAATAATAATAATAATAATAATAATAATAATAATAATAATAATAATAATAATAATAATAATAATAATAATAATAATAATAATAATAATAATAATAACACTTTATTTATTGAGGATAAACAGATAAAGTTACAACTTTTTTCCAATCTGGTCCTCCTAAACTCTATAGACACAACTTCAATAATATTAAAAATGACCATTTTCAGTACTTCCTAGCAGTATGGACAAACGAAATCAATGTAAAGTATTAACCAGTACTACAATTCAGTTGTTCATACCTCGAGAAAGTCCCAATTTTCTAATTAGGCAATTTTCTAATTAGGCAATTTTCTAACTATGTTTAAATTATATTTACAGAATAATATGTCGAAATACGTCGACACATAACTCACAAGTGACATGATAAACATGACAATATTTGGCACTTTCTCCATTACGAACAACCGAAAGTTAGGTGTTGCTCAGCTAAAACTCAGCAAGTATGAACTTCGGCAGTTCGTACACCAAGAAAGCAACTAACTTTAAAATAACGTTTAAATGTTACTTAAACAAATAACCAAATAAATAAACAACAGAATTTAGTGTTCCGCAAGTTTTAGTATGCATTTGTTAACTTATTTGTAAAATATTTAAAACATAGAACGATTCAAAGTTTTACGTGCGTGTGCGTGCATACGAAAAACGCAACAGTGGAAACCATCCTTTAGGGAACTGAAACTGACGTACTATATGGCGTGGTGGTGGACCGCGCCAGTGATGGCGTATAAAGGGACTGAAACTGACGTATTATATGGCGTGGAAGGCTGACGCTATTGCTTACGCATTGCTCACGCGAGGCTTCACTTTTTACCTGCCAAATGACTGAGTGTTATTCCAGGTAAAGTAACGTAAGTTGAGTTCACTGTCCAGAGCATGTAAATTCATTGACGTAAAGTATTAAACTTAGGATCTTACCTTCCTCATCATCAAACACCAAATGAGCATGAAACTATAATAAGACGTTTTCAAATCAAATCTTCCAGCAGGTTAAATATCAACTTCGTCAGTTACAGGAACTTTGAGAAAAGCAAAACTAAAATAACAAAACGAAATTGCTTACCTAAAAGACGCGAAAATTTTACATTGTCGATTGAAAAATATAGTGGAATGCTAAGCAAAAACGGCAAAAGTCGAGAAAAGAACAAAAATGCAAGGTGCAAAGATAATCTCTGTCAATATACCCTGAATTATATTATTTATAGTATATTATTTTGTTATTAAACAATGCATTTAGTTCATGTTTTGGAATCGAACATATTACGTAATGAGATGAAATTTCAACGTATACTGGTGGAATGGTTGCCAAAGACAGGAAACTGGAG